CGAGCTCCACCAGTCACACAGGATCGGTCAGCCACACAGGGTCTGTCATTCATACAGGATCAGTCAGTAACTTGGGTTCGGCAAGTGGCACAGGCCCTGTATCAGATGACATAGAGGCATTACCCACGGGGGAAGTCAGCAGTGCAGGACCTGTGATCAACATTGCAGCTTTGCAGCAACAACTTCAGCAAGACTCTTCAACAAAAGCACCTGGAAATTTGGAACCGCCGTCATATATTAGTTTGAACAGTGCCCAAACGCCCAATACTCAGCAGGCTGCCTTCGAAGGAATCCCATCTACGTCGACTTTGATTCTCAACTACAGACCACCGAGCAGCGGGCTGTCAGTGGGGCAGATTTCCGGAGAAGTGTCGACATCTGCCTCCTCTCTTGACCAATCTGTCACTGTTCACGCAACCATCCAAGAAACCGTTGACAGTGATGCAGAAAGCTCCACCAATTTGCTGAATGAGCAAGAATTATCGTTCGCTTCTACCTCTGATGCAGGCGAGTCCCAGTCTCAGAATTTTGCGACCTTTGTTGGATCAGTTTCTCCAAATGCAGAGGGACTGGAAGTCATGTCGTCAGATATGAAGATGGAATCAGAAATGGAAGTAGGTGAATCCTCGACAGCCGAAGATGATTTCAACTTGAGCAATGACTCTAGTTCGGTCATTAGCACTAGTATGTCTGGCAGCAGTTCCAGCAGTGATAATATGAGTAACAGTATTTCAAGTGCCACGTTTGCCAGTTCTAGCTCAAGTAACAACCATTTAGAGAACAGTGGCTCAGACAGTGCTAACTCTAACAACAATAATTCGCACACAGTTAATTCAAGCAGCGGTATTTTGAGCGGTATCAGTTCGGGCTATAGCAACTACAGTAATATCAGCTCAACCAATAGCAGTTCAGCTAGCAGCAACTCCACAAGTATCAGCTCAGCCAATAGCACTTCAAGTAGCAGCACTTCAAGCAGTGGCAGTATTCCCAACAGTAGCAGCTCTAGTAGCAGTAACTTTAGCAGTAGTAGTTCCAGCTTTAGCAGTTCCAGCAGTAGCAGTTCCAGCAGTAGCAGCTCAAGCAGTAGCAGCTACAGTAGCAGTAGTTCGTACAGTTCCAATTCTGTTAGTGGCAACTTCAGCAATGAAGACCCAGAGAGTGGAATTGGTACAGATGGCAGCAGACTCGAAAGTAAGCCACATACCCCTGATCCAAGAGTAAACAGTGAGAATTCAGTTGGCAGTACCAGTGATTCCAATAGTGACATCACAGATACTGATACATCTGACAGCAGTGAAAGTCTTTCAACAGGAAATCTGCACATCCATGCCAACACTTTCCCAGGAAGTAGTCATATTGTACCCCAAAGCAACACGGATGATATTGTTCTGCCACCTCTGCCACCAAGTAGAATACCAGAGGATACCAACAATGATGAGTCAGGTGTACCCCTAGGTGTAAGGGGCGTGGGGCCCCTTTCTGCCCTTATTGGATCTCCTGTTTCCACAGAATTGGCATTTGGTGATCCTTTGACAACAGAGGAAGTCATATCAAGCCTTGGGTGGAATCCTTTCAAGAAGTTGACTCCTCCATCTACATACTTTGAAGATTACAATGCCATATTCCCTCCAGCTTTTGGGTTCCATCATGAACCTGTGGCTCAGGGACCGTCATTCGCTGTTGTTGGAACAGAGCTTCCTGGAAGTGAGTGGAGTCCCTTCCAAGGTTCTCTGGAAAGGCCGGCCGGAAATAACATTCGAGGGAGTATCCTGACGCAAGGCCCTCCTGTTACAGGGCCAGCGCCTCCTATCAATGTTGTACAGCTTCTGCAGCGTGAAGATTTCCGGCCATTGATCGACGCTCTTGGCTTAGAACCTGAGGAGCTCGTTCACATAGCAGCCTTACAAGACCCTGATCTACTCCCTCAGGACGACTACGACTCTAGGGTTGCTATTTTAGAATTTCTTCCACCTGGGGAAGTGGAGTTTATGGAAACAGATTCTTTGATACAGGATAGCCACCAGAATCCTGAAACCATGCCAACCATCATAGAGACTCCTTTTGGCGATTTTCTTGATGGAACTGTTGTCCTGGACGGTGGAAAGCCTGTAACAAGTCAAACTATCATCATTCAAGATGGAGATGCAAGTGAAGTAGCCAATATGGGCATTCCATTCCCCCTTCTGAGCCAAGACTCAGACAACCAGGTACCATCTCTGGACCTCTCCTATTTGCCACCATCTACTTCATCAGCTACAACTTCTGACTTTAACTTCTTACAACTTCCTGCCAGCCAGGTCCCATCTCTGGACCTCTCCTATCTGCCACCATCTACTTCATCAGCAACAACTTCTGACTTTAACTTCTTACAACTTCCTGCCAGCCAGGTCCCATCACTGGACCTCTCCTATCTGCCACCATCTAGTGAGACTTCTTCATCAACAGCAACTTCTGACTATAACTTTTTGCAAGTTCCTGCATTTATAGACTTTGCCAGTTCTCAAAGTATATCAGCACAGACGTCTGAAAATCATAGTTCTGATTCACAGTCTGTCACCGCATTGAAAGCACAAGAACAAGGAATGTCATCCACTGCCTCACAGACAGAGGTACAAGAATCTTCTTCTGAAATAAAGGAAACTTTCTCTACCTCAGAAGCACAAGAAGAGATATCTGATTCAGAAAACGGTGGTTCATCATTATCAGAAATACAGGAATCTTCTACCTCAGGAATGCAAGGGGCATCTCTCTCTACCTCGGAAATGCAGGAATTGCCTTCGTCTGCCTCAGAAATCCAAGAAGTGTCTTCTTCTGGCATACAAGAAGGGTCATCTTTTACTTCAGAAATACAGGGGGCATCTACTTCAGAATTACAAGAGACATCACAAACCTTACAGGTTCAAGACTCAGCTACAGGTCAGCAAACACAAGCAGAATATTTTGCAAGTGCAAGTTCCTCAGACAGTTCACTGTCACATAGTGAAGAAACGCACCAGACCTTTACCCAGAAAGAGAAACCGTTAGGAGCAATTTATACCCTGAACTTTTCTTCAGCAGATCTGCTTGCTCAGCAGTTCAGCTCTGCCTCAGCTCATTACCAGAAGCAAGTCTCGTCCAACACAATGGCTGATTATCAACCTGTTTCATCCTCACTTACTTCAATCGATCAACAACTTGTTGGAATTCTGGACTCACCTGAAGCGGCATCAATTGTGTCTGAAAGTGAAGTGGTAAATTCTGAGGAGGATTCTGTTAAGGTTAGTCCTTCACCACAATTTTCTCCGTTCCAACCTCCAACTGATGCGGTGACAGTGGATGACGATCTCTCAATATTATTCGAAGAATTGCCAGTCAGTGCTGATGGCATTATTCTCGGGCCGGAGGGACCACCGGATCTCCTCATTCTCCCTGGGGACGACAGGCCGATGTCCTCCGAGCCCCCTTTCATCATGCCTCCTGAAACCCCTGTGAAACTGTCGAACATCATGCCTGTTTTCCCCTTTGCCGACGACACTCCCTCCGTTCCCGAGCCCTTTACTGACATTCCACCACTGCCGCTGCAAGACGAGGAAGTGGGCGATACAGACCAATCTAATGTAGCCCCGTGTATGCCCGCTGACATGTGCTATCGCCAGTTTGGTGACCACTCCTTGGATGAGTGTGCTTATGGACAACAGCCAGCTTGCCATGAAGGGTATGTTCCCTGTCTGGATAACTACACTGGGCACGTTGAACTCAGCTGCTACGAGTATGCCACTCCGCTCAGCACATTCATAGAGGTAAATGTCAGCGCCTCCTCTAATCAAGAACCAGATTCGGCGCCCACAGAACTGCCACAGAATTCGCAGACATTACCCAGTGGAAGTGGTGATGCGGAAAGCTCCTTCTCCGAGGGGTATAGTTACACAGCAGGCTCTGCAACTCAGGAAATCAAAGTAGAGATCGAGTGTATCGCCATCGGACACTGCCGCCGACGCTACGGGTCCGCTCTTACAGACATTACAGAGTATGGTTTCTTAGAACTTTGTCCAGCTGGGATGGTCCGCTGTCTTGATGACGTCATCACTTCGTCTGCGACCACCACGGAGATAGAGAGCAACCCCGATATCGGTCAGAGCCATCAAGGTGATCACCAGGCTGCCGTCGTGAGTTCCCAGAATCAAAGCCAATTATCACAGGCAGTGACTCAGCAAGTTCAGCAGTTTGCTCAGCAACAACAAGAGATAAAGCAGCAAGAGCACAATCAAAAATATTCTCAACAACAACAGACCCAGCATTATTCACAATCTCAGCAACAAGAAACCCAGCAACAAGAAACCCAACAACAGATTTCTCAGCAGCAGTATAACCAACAATATTCACAACAAGGAAGTCAGCAACAGTATTATCAGCAACGGCCAAACCAACAACAGTATTCTCAGCAACAACAAAACCAACAGCTTCCACACGAACAACAACAACAACAGCAAACCCAGCAGCATTCACAAAAACAACAACAGCAAACCCAGCAACAGCATTCTCAGCAACACGCAGATTACCACTATCCACAACAGCAAAACCAGCAGCATTCTCAGCAGCAGCAAACTCAGCCACCTTCACAACAGTTGCAGCAACAGCATTACCCTCACAACCCGACTCCAACCTCCCCAGCGCAGCCCCAGCAGCCGCAAACCACCACAACCACCACAACCACTCAGCAGAGCCACCACCTGACTCAACCCACGTCTCGACCAGACACCCACTACAACAGCTACCACCAGCAGAGCAGTTCTCAACCCGCTGCCCACCACAGTTCCCATCAGCAGAGCCAAACCAGCTCCTTCCATTCCCAACGCCCATTCCCTTTCTCCAGTGGTTCCTATTCCTACCACTCCTACCAGACCCCGAATTCCTACGTGTACCATTACTACCCGTCTCGTCCCGCCGGTAGGGAGAACAGCCAACCAGCCAACCAGCCTTCCTCCAGACTGTGGGATCTCTCCATCGCCGGGAAATTGAAA